GACTTAATTGTTTTAGCTTCCCTTGATTATCTTTCCTTAAATCAATTATTATATTGGAGGTTTCACTGTGGTGATTTTCTGTTATTCCTTCTGCATTCATTAGTTGACATTCATCTGTAAGGAAAAACTCTGATCCTTTTAATCTTCTTTTCACTGTTATTATAAAAAGGATTTGGTATCGTATGTGTTATAATCCACTGTTTTTTACTTTTTTGAGATGCTCAAACTGCCCCTTCATGGTGGCTTCTATGTTCCTTTTCGGAGTCCTTGGTAAACTCTGCAAACTTTCACACTTCTTGGTACAAGAAGCTTTTTCAGACACCTTTATTTCTCTGGTCCAGACCTTTTATGGGCCATTTTTCCAAGGAGTCCTGGTACCCTTAGTGGGAAACAGTATTTAGAAACACAGATCTGGAAAACAGATGTGCTCACTGCTCTCAGGTCTGCTCACTGGAAAGAGGTAAGAAATGTATTTAAAACAAAACCATTACTTGTACAGATTCCTCAAAGCAAACTGACTTCAGACATTCGTTAAAAATATTTGACACAGCTGGGTGCGGTGGCTCACGCCTGTAATCCTAGCACTTTGGGAGGCCGAGGCGGGCGGATCATCTGAGGTCACAAACTCGAGACCAGCCTGGCCAACATGGCAAAACCCCGTCTCTACTAAAAACACAAAAATTAGCCAGGCGTGGTGGGCTGTACCTGTAATCCCAGTTACTCAGGAGGCTGAGGCAGAATTGCTTAAACTCAGGAGGCAGAGGTTGCAGTGAGCTGAGATTGTGCCACTGCACTCCAGCCTGGGTGACAGAACGAGACTCTGTGTCGGAAAAAAAAAAAATTGATACATGCAAAATATAATAAACAGAATTATATAAGTCCTTCATTTTTCATAAACTCAACTGAACATTCAGTGACAATTTATTATAATTCATTTTTCAGAACTAGAAACTTCAAGTAGGACGACAGAGTGAGCTCAGCAGAAGCCAGTCCCTGCAACAGAAGAGCTGTGAGGAGAGGGTAAGAGGAGGTCAGGGCAGCAGAGAACCATGGATGGCCTACGTGCTCAGCAAATTGCTGCTACACAGGACGTCAGGGTCAGTGTTTCCAGCTCATATTTTTCAAAATACATTGTAAACTTGGACTTTGACATCAAATTTCCTGGTTTTTAAAAATACTATATACTCCAAACAATCTGCAGGCTGAATACTGCCCCTGGGTCACAACCTACAGTACAAAGTAAATTCATTAGAAACCAAAGTGCCTAGTCCACCATGAGGGACACTTGAACATCAAAACCCATGACATCTTAATCATTTATCCCTTCACAGAAGCTTTTTAAAGCATCTACTAATACAAAAATCCCTATGTTATGCGTATTTACATCCTAGGATTCAGTGGCCTAGAACATTCTTAAAGTGGGTGCTTATATGGCATGGCTAACTCCCTCACAGTCCTCAGGTCTTGTGACTGTCACCTGACAGGGAGGGTACCCCTTACAGTCCCACCCCCACTCTGCTTCTCTCCATAGCACTTACACTGTTTGTTGAATGAATGGATGGGTGGACGGCCTTTCTTGTAGCTACTACTATAAGAGAACATTGTACAATCTATTCCAATTCATTTAGAACGTGAAGGACACCAGAGACTGGCAAAAGGACATCAGAAAATTCAAGCTGCCTAATTTTTGGCAGATGTGTGTATGCCCCTCAATATGCTCCGGACATATGCTGCTCCTATAGCTCCTGCCTCGCCTGTCAAACCTTTTCATTTGGGCTGTGTGCAGGTGGTTCCCACCTGGAATCTCAGCACTCTGGAGGCCGAGGGGGGACAACTGCTTGAGCCCAGGAGTTTGAGCTATGATTGTACCACTGCACTCCAGCCTGGGTGACAGAGTGAGACTCTGTCAATCAATCAATCTTTTATTTGCATGAGACAGTTTCAAGGTCCTCCCCCTGTTCTTGTGTTTGGACTTGGACCACTGCTCTCCATGTCTAGACCAGGAGAAGTTCTGGAAAGGGTGTGAGAAATCATATGACAGCTTAGATTAGGCAATTTATTTTTATTTTCACAATGGTTAGCATATATAAGACCAAAGGAAAATAAATTCCCATTAAAGTTTCCTTTATGGCAATCAATATTTTTGTTCATAAACTGTCAGTACTGAGAAGATTACTTTTTCAGTTTTGTAACTTATCTTTGTGTTTGTAACATAATGTAGATTACTTGTGATTCCTAAACATGCTGTTATAATGCAACTAGTTCTTCATTATTTAGACCAAGGCTCAATGAGGCAAAAATAGAACAATAACAACAACAACAAACAAACATGGAGAAAAGAACTAGGTCCCCGCCATAGGACCCCTTTAGGAAACAAAAATGGAAGGTTTTCTCCTCACAATACTTGAGGGAAGAAGAGGTACACTGCTTCGTTTGGAATGATAACCTGGAAAAGGGTGGGGATAAACTCAGGCATGTTCGTGCCTGCTGTACCATCTCTGGCAAGTGTGAGGCAAAGCTTTCCAAGCCACAGCCCCAAGATGGTGGAGGGCTGTGCCTGAGGCCTGCACGTCTACATTATCTGCAGAACAGAGTAATAAGCCGAATATACTACCCTAAACCCAGCATCTTATTCCAGGGCCTATTTCTTTCCCTGGGCCCTCTGCCCAAAGATCGAAGCAAAATATCAAGGAAAAGTAGCTGTAACATATCTTTAGAAACAACCTTACAGGAACTGCCTCCTATCTCTCTAGACATGGGTGGCAAAACTGCACCCAGAAAGGCCACGCAGGCAACTCGACTGAGGAGTGGCTTGGGTGGGTGACATGGACAACATCCTGTGAGTATAGAAGTGAAAAACACATGTCCCAGAGACAATCGTTGCCATGCAAAACCAGAAATCACGGACTGGCAAAGCCTAATTTTTAAAGAGAAGTTGAAATCTTATTTTTAAATACAGCAATTTCACCTAACAAAAATACATAGGCATATGACCCCCAAATGACAGACTGAGGAACGTTCATAGTAGCTCTCCAAAAGGTACTTAATCTAGTTGAATATATAAACAACTTGTGGCTTACTCATATATGAGAATACTACACAGTGATGAGAATGAACTGCCGTGTATCACAATGACATGAATGGCTCTCAAAAGCATGTCACTGAATGAAAAAAGCCAGATGCAAAAGAGAATGCACAGTATGATTCCATTTATATAAAATTCAAGAAATAACCTATGGTGCTGAACTCAGGCTGTGACTTGAGGAGTATGAGGAGGGATTCTGGATGTATGAGAATGGAGTATGAGGCTAGGATTTCTTGATTGGGGTCATTTTGTAAAAATTAATTGAGTTGTACCATTTTTTTTTTTTTGTAACATACACTTCAATAAACAGTTCAAAAACAAAACACTGTGCAGGACAAACTGAATTTGACCCAAGGGCTTCCTGTTTATGACTGTGTTCTGAAGGAATTTAGGCAAACACTAGATGCTCTGGATACAAAGATTTTAAAAATCCAGTTCATATTTTCATGATGTTCCCAATTCATCCAGTTAACAGATACATCTGCAACTAAAACATACTTGAATAAATGAGAACAGGAGCATTCTAAACCGAACAGGAGGGCGTCATTCCCTAGGTGCTGCAGGGCTAGGATGGGGCCTGAGCTACACTGAGGTCCACTAATGGGACCAGCGAGCTGCTTGGAACTGTCAGCTTGGAGGTCCAAGGAGGAGTACTTTATTTAAGTGAGGGAAGGATGAACACATAGCTAGCTGCTGTGCACATCTGAGGCAAATGTATTCTGTAGGACTGTAGCTGCCTTGCTTAACACAATGTGTGCCATTTCTCTGGAGAGAGGGAACAAATGATGGTCAGATTCTTGATGACAGGAGAGAACAAGTCTTCTAACCCACTGGAAAAGCTCTTCACTGGCCTCCAAATCTATACAACAGTTGGGAAGATCCATCGGGGTCACTTACAACAGTGAGTCCTTGCCACTAAGGTTAGAAAACTGCCCTCTCAGTCCGGCCGCGGTGGCTCACGCCTGTAATCCCAGCACTTTGGGAGGCCGAGGCGGGCAGATCACGAGGTCAGAAGATCTAGACCATCCTAGCTAACACGATGAAACACCATCTCTACTAAAAAACCAAAAAATTAGCCGGGCGAGGTGGCGGGCGCCTGCAGTCCCAGCTACTCGGGAGGCTGAGGCAGGAGAATGGCATGAACCCGGGAGGCAGAGCTTGCAGTGAGCCAAGATTGTGCCACTGTACTCCAGCCTGGGTGACAGAGCGAGACTCCATCTCAAAAAAAAAAAAAAAAAAAAAAAAGAAAACTGTTGTCTCTTGAAGGTCTTAGTTGATATAGAATTGGGCAGTCTCTTGGGGATGAGTGGAAAAAGGAGTACAAATAATGATTTCTTTTCAGGGAATAGCATCTTCCCTGCTCTAAGTCTCCCTAAATGTCAGTGAGGCCACAGCTAATACTTTCTTGAAAAGGGAAGGTTGTATGCATCCTAAGAGGGTGTTACTTGGACATGCACGTGTGGCTGTGTTATATCACATACATTGAGTCCAGGGAGCAGTTCATGGAGCCTCGTACACAGTTTCCCTGACATGCCTATAGCAGTGCCAAAAGCTTTAAAAAAAAGTCTGGAGAAGTACGCATAATGCAATAGCTATAGTCATTAGAAGAAAAAAAGGCATTGTTCTTTCTCAGGTACATCTGAAGTTTGGGTATATACTTCAGTAATGTTGGTATCCTTTATTCAGATTGATAAATATTTTATTAGTCTATACAGGTTGAGTAACCTTTGAAATTGTAATTTACAAATATTCATTCACTTAAGAATCTTGTATTTTTAAAACTAGGTATTTCTTGAATGACTCCGACTGCACTTTCAATGGCCAGTTGCCATGCATTATTAAACTTTCTTTTTTTTTTTTCTTCAGAATCTTCCAGTAGACGTCTAGAGTTTAGCTAGAAGTCTTGGCTACGATACAAACAGTGATGGAAAACACATGAGCAGTAACAAGTTTTAATCTTGCTCCTCAGTACTAACATGGACTAATCTGTGGGAGCAGTTTATTCCAGTATCACCCAGGGTGCAGCCACACCAGGACTGTGTTGAAGGGTGTTTTTTTTCTTTTAAATGTAATACCTCTTCATCTTTTCTTCTTACACAGTGTCTGAGAACATTTACATTATAGATAAGTAGTACATGGTGGATAACTTCTACTTTTAGGAGGACTACTCTCTTCTGACAGGTATGTTTCATGTCTATCTTACATGTACCAATGTATACTTTATAGTCAGTACTAAGGAGACATTAATGTTATTAATAAATGCTTATAAATCATATGATAAAGTCCAAAGCTTATCTCTATAATTTCTTAAAAATCAGCATTTAAATATAAACCTAAATTTGTACCTAAAATTATTCTAGTTTTATGTCTTATCTATAATGAATTTATTTTAAATATAATTATGTGACTTTTTTTTCCAGCTAAGTGAAAACCTGTCATTATGCTTTATCATAAATGTTAACATGATTGATTTTAAAAGTCATTTAAATAAACATCTTGTGTGTTTATCTAGGAAAATAACATTGCTACAATAATGATCATGAAGTTTGGGGATATCACAGCTATATTAAATGAAACAGTAAATATATTTTTCAATATTTAAAATATTGTCTAATGTGTATTTAAAATGTGTGAATTGCTGAAACGTCATTTTTACTTATACATTTGAATATTCATATTTTTCCTTGATAAATGTCTTCCTTATTATAATGAAATGGCACTGAAAAGTTTAAATGGAAATCTATACAATTCCAAGAAAGAATACTTATTAGCAATAGTTCAGCTAGCACTATATTCAATATGAAAGATTAGGAAATTTTCACAGCATATATACAGTCAGAATTTAACACTTTCAAAGATTTCCTTTGTCCCCTCTCAAAGTAAATTTTGGATTAAATTTTAGATTAAAAAATTTAAGCAATGCATTCAATATTCTACTCCCTAGTAACCTAAATAGTGCACAGCATTCTTTCATGTTAATCTATTCAGAGGTGTGGCACCCAAGAAACAGCGGCCACATGGTGTAGGGACTGAGTCATAAAGAACCTGAGGGGGTTATATTTCCCTAAAAATAAAGTTGTTTAAATCCAAGAATCAAGTTGTTAAAAGAAAGAAATAAAAAAAGAAAGAAAAATCAAGCACAAGCCCACCCACATGAAAGGATCCTGATGTTTTTAGTTTGTTTTTTGGCATTAAGGAGTATAGTGTAGTAGTGGAAAGAACAGAGGATATATAGTCTTCTGTTACAACTAACTACTCAATTAAAAACAAATATTCTGATAACTGATCTGAGGTTTGAGACAAAAACGATTAACTTTACAAGTCTTGAAGCACCGTGGGAAACATCATAAAAATGGAGAGGGAGGAGATTTTGTTTTTTAAGACAGTAGCTTGGTTGCTAGACATATGGAAAAATTAGTGAAGGGAAAAATTAGTATAAAAGGAAAAACAGCCAGAATGCTTCGTCAGAATGCTAGTTATACTTCTAAGGTAAAATTAACTGCTTTTTAAGGAAAGTGCTACCTTTGTCAGTATCCACGAACAAATGGTACTGTGAATAAGTTTCCAAATGCATGCTTGGACTTCTAACTCATTTGTTAGCTTACAAGGCTGTGCCTTGATTATATCTGAATTTGGTTTGGATTCCTTCTGTGAAATATATGGAGTATGTTACATCACATTTATATACTGAAATCTGCTACTGGTACCTGTGAACAGATAGGCATGTTTAAACCAAGGGAAAAGTTGCCAAGCGGGCCTTTAAACATGGGATTTAAAAGCACAGTGACTTATTTACCTAATAATAGTGTCTGAGAGGAAATACCATTTCACTTAGACAAACTTTCCATTCTAAGTTTGTAGACCAGTTAAATGGAAAAAAGAAAGCTTATGTGCTTCTTAAGCTATATTTTCAGTCCATATGTTATGAACTCTTTTAAGACCTTGGCCAAACCTCCTTAACTAGGCTTTTCCAGAGGAAAGTCTGTTTACTGTCTGGAAAACTATGAGATTAAAATCCATTTAGGAGGACATGCAGTCTAGTGGAAGGCACAACCAACAAGCAGTGAGGAGGCCAGCCCTCAGCTCCACCACCTCCAGCCAGCTCTGGACACTCATTGCCTCAGCTTTTTCTCAGTAAAAGACAGCCGTGGGAGGAAGGTCTCAAAGGCCTCTCTTAGGTCTAGGCTGCTATGATTTATTAGTAACAGCAGTAGCACTGGAAGAATACTCCAAATAGTATTCTGATTAAGAAAGACTTGAAACCAAAATCCAAAGCTTTCCATGAGTGGAAAACACTGGCAAAACTGGTCTAAATCAGGGAAATATTGAGTATTCCTGAGAAGAAGATTTAATATTTTTAAAGGTTTTAAAAATAGAATAATCTGAATACTGCCAAAACTAATAAAACAGAATAAAACTAATAAAACATTCATAAACTCAAAACAAGCAAAAGTCATATCATTTTAAATGACATATAATATTCTCTACATTCTTTCTGAATAATAAGAAAAAATACTGCTATCTAGATTTCCCTCCTAGACATTCCATTATTTTCCTATTGGTAAACAGTTGCACACTGAACTGGGGGAGGTTTAGGACCTATCCTTAACTTGTACTTATTAACAAAGTGGTGGAAGAGACCCAGCAAGAGACTCAGGTAAAGCGTGTAAATAACAAATTCCTCATGGAATCAAAGTTGGCCTTTTTTCTTTGCAAGCAACCAGGATACAAGAATGCAAAAGATTAGATTAATTGTATAAGGCTAACAAAAGACAGAACTAGCAGAGAGAAATGAATTCTCCAGAAGGCATTTTTGAGTTTCCATATAAAATCTTTCCTAACAGCCACTGTGGAAGATGCTGCCTTGAGGCAGTATCCTCTCCCTGGAGTTATTCAAGCAGCGTGGATATGCTCCCTGTTCCAGAATGTTCTGGAACCTTCACCACCAGGAAGAACTCCTGTTTCAAAGGTCTCCATCTCTTACTCTCCAGGAAAGGGCCCAACTGCTATATAAAAATGGCTGCCTCCACTGCTCAGCAAATGGAATGCTTCCCAACAACTACAGATAATGCTACTGCCTAAAACTTGCAGGCAGAAGTCTCCATTTCATATTTTCATTTTACCTCAGTTTTGATTAAAGGCAGTCACTTATCAGTCTAAGAAAAGAGGACAGACAATGCTTCTCCTGATGCCACTGGGGGGCTGGTCAGCAGCCCTGAGGCGGGGATGTGGAAAAAAGCAGGCCCACTACTGTTCCACTCCCTGCCTTCCCTGCCCTGTGTACCTTCTCCTTGTCCTCTCAACTGTCAGTTCTGCTCCTCACACGTGATCCCGTTCCTCATCCTGAACCTCAACTTAGTAATGTGGAAGCCTCTTTTGATGGTGGCACGAGGCTGAAGGCATCTGGGAAACCATTATGTGGTGTGCAAAGGAGCCGAGGCCAGTCCTTGCTCCCACTGCCAGGCCACAAGGAACACCACGATGTGTTCTTGGCATCCCACTTTGGATCTCTAACACATTCCTGGTGTTTTACATTTTTTTTTTAAGTTCCATAGTTTTTGGTTTCTGCATTTTGGATATATTATCTGTTAAATAGGTTTTTCCGGTCCAAGACTGGGAACATAAAGTCCATATAGTTCAAAGATTCTATGGGAAAATGCTTAAACTAAAACAATCAGGCTGGGTGCAGTGGCTCACACAGTGGCATACTTTGGGAGGCCAAGATGGGTGGATCACTTAAGGTCAGGAGTTCAAGACCTGCCTGGCCAACATGGTGAAACCCCGTCTCTACAAAAATACAAAAAATTAGCCAGGCATGAGGGCACATGCCTGTTATCCCAGCTACTTGGGAGGCTGAGGTGGGAGCATCACTTGAACCTGGGATGTGAAGGTTGCAGTGAGCCAAGATGGTGCAACTGTACTCCAGGCCTGAGCGACAGAGTGACTTCATCTCAAACAAACAAACAAAAAACCCAAAAAACAAAAAAGAACAATCAACCAACTTAAAAAATAACCTTATCAAAATCTTCATTTCCCATTGACCAGAACAAATATGATTAAGCCTCAAGAAATTGTGAATCCCAAAACAATTTCCCAAGTAGGTGCTATTGTTTGACTTTTGGGTAGAGATAGGTGAGAATAGTGTGTATGGGAAACCTTTGATTATACCAACTCCTACCAAAAGTGGTAGGAAAAGACAGCAGTATATGTAGAAATAAAGCAAAGAAAATTCTGTTGGTGGACTGACATTTAAAATATTTTAAAAGCAACAAAATTTAAAAACTATGCATAGGAAAAAAAAATGCTTTGCTTATAATCCCATTATCCCTCTTACCAGGTTTGTATATTCTATTTCAATCTTTTTTTCATGTGAATATATGTTTTTTTTTTTTTTTTTTTTTTTTGAGACGGAGTCTTGCTCTGTAGCCCAGGCTGGAGTGCAGTGGCCGGATCTCAGCTCACTGCAAGCTCCGCCCCCCGGGTTCCCGCCATTCTCCTGCCTCAGCCTCCGGAGTAGCTGGGACTACAGGCGCCCGCCACCTCGCCCGGCTAGTTTTTTGTATTTTTAGTAGAGACGGGGTTTCACCGGGTTAGCCAGGATGGTCTCGATCTCCTGAGCTCGTGATCCGCCCGTCTCGGCCTCCCAAAGTGTGAATATATGTTTTTATAAATGTCTTTAGTTCTATTGGTCTCAAACAGTAAACTGAAGGTTATACGTAGACAGACATGGTGAAGAATTCTACTTTCAAAGCTCTGGGTACCACACTTCTAGTGTTAAAGCTCCACACCCCTATTCCTACCCCATAAGTCACAGTATATAAGGTTTACATTGCCTATTTACTAATCTAGGCATTTTATTTTTTAGTTTTTCCATTAATGCACCTGACATTCAAGTGTTAACTTTATGATCTCATATTTACCTGACAGTAGTTGATCAGGAGTTGTAGGTTTTTTATTTTTGAGTAGGGAAGTGAGGGAGAGAAGAGGATGGGGAGGAAGGTGTGCTCTACTTTAAGAGATTCAGAATTCTGACAAGTGACACTGCCTGGGGTACAGTGGGTGCTTGGTAAATGCCCACTGAATAACTCCAGCAACCTTAAAGAAAGCCAGAAACAGGACCTCAAATGACATGATAATTCTATAGCTTCTTGTTGCCAAGGTCAGACAAGGTCAAGGGCAGCTGTGCACCTAGAAGACAGAGCTGTAATGCAAGAATGTTACAGAATAAACTGGAATTGGGGCCAACTTTGATTTAGCTAAGGACCAAGAGCTGACTTTTCTAGGCAATGAGTATTTTGAAGGTTGAGGCAAAGCTGGGCACTAAACCTTAAGGAGTCAGGAGCCACACAACAGCCCTAAGTCAAAACACATAATGAGTCAAAGTTAGACAGCCAGCCAAGGCACAGAGACAATGTGCCAGGGACAAAGTGACATTGAAAAGGAAGCCCCCAGTAACCTTTACCAGGACCCCATACAGGATTCCCAGGATGACTGGAATACGAAATATCAACCTGCCTGCCAGCAGGGACACCCCACACCTGCTACAGAACAGTGGTCAGCCACAGTTGGTGATTTCCACCTGGGGCTCTCCAGCAGAAGCCACTGAACCCTGTGTTGCCGGCACAATCTCTCACCCTGTACTGCACAAATCTGACCTCACAATCATTCTATTCTCTATCTTCCAGTCCAAGCTACACAGGTGCTTCTTTATGCACAGACGTACACAGGACAGGAATTTGTATACTGGTTAGATAACAAGAAATGACAGAGTATGCCCATGAAGCCACGAGATTTCTGGATAAAACAACTGAGTCCCCCAACATGAGCTGGAGCAGAAGGCAGCACAGAACAGGGAGTTGGGACACATGAGCCCTAGCTCTGGCTCCATTTATATTTGGTAGGTGACTTTGGGCAAGTCACTTAAGCTCTTTACACCTCATTTCCTATGAGGGATGAGTCTAGAATAACATCTGAATTGACACCTCCACAAAGTAGTGTACAGATGGGAGGCTAGGGTTAGTTTTGAAATGGGAATCAGGATAGGATTATTAAAATGTAAAAAACTCTTGCCATTCTCAGATCTGTCCTGTAAGCTGTTTCCTAGTATTAGTGTGGATTATCACAGGAATATCACACATACCTGACCAGTGCCATCCAGCTACCCAGTGGGCAAATGTTCATGCCACCATTCAGATTTTTGGAGCATATGAGGAATTAAATAATCATCAGGTTAATAACTAATGACAGTAGGACATTCTAGCCCTTGTCTGGTGATCAAAAAAGACATACCACATATAAATGAAGATATTAATTAAGTTAATGAATTCATTCTTGATTTTTAAATCCAGGAAAAAGCAGGCCCGTGGAGAGATGTTGAAGCTGATTTTTTGGTTCTGGGAAATTGTAACCAGTTGGGATTTGGAGGGGTAGGTCTTCCTGAGGCTGGGCCAATACCAGCTGATTATGTAAGTCTTTTGCAGCTCAGCTGCTCTCTGGCACTTGGGCAACGGCGGGCAATGGCAGGCCTGGTGGACTATTTAGGTGACTGTAGCCTGGTGGACTGTTAGGGTCTGCGGAGCCCTCTGCTGTGGTGGTGAGTGGATGCCCTCTTGCCAGGACTCAGTTTCACCAGCGAGCATCTCTAGGATGCATCTATTTTGAATAATTTCATGTTTTTAATTTTTGAAATTTTTAAAGAATATACACATTTCACAGATGACAATTTAAAAATTATGATATGTAAATATGGCAATAAATCTATGCTCTGAAGGTTCTCATTTGTATAGTTCTGTTTTGTGTGCATTTTAAAAATGCAGCTGAAAACAACCTGGCCCCCCAAAAACAAAACAAACAAACAGAACTCAGTGGAAAGACGAGTAAGAAAGAACAGTCTGGACATCAGACAGTTTGGATCAAATATTAGACAATGGAAAAGATTAGAAGGAAAAATATACCAATTGTGGAAAAAGTGACCAACTATGAGAGTGAGGTTGGGAAAGGTGGAGAGAAATCAGTTAAGGAAAAATTCCAGATGTTGTCTAAGGAGACAATGAAGACACTCCTCCTTCAGGGACACTGAATACATTAAGGCAATAGAAAGATTTTGGGAATACAGAGTTAGGTAAGATAATCTGTTTCTGTTTTTAAAATGTTTATTAGCTTTTTCATTATAAAGGTAATACTCATTGCTCATTATGAAAGTTAAAGGAAAACACAAGTCATCTATGGTTCTAGTAACCAAAGTTTATCATCAATCAGGTATATTCCTGCCAGGTTTCTTTTTGTTTGTTTCCGAGTGTTTGTAAGTATACAGTTTACGGATTTTTTGTATTTGCTTTTTTTTATTTCACAAAAGATATATCTCATATTTTAAAATGTCTTTGCAAGCATTTTGTGGGTTCCAAAATATTTCATGGAATAAATATACTCTTTTATTTTACTATTCCCCTTTAACCATTATAATTGTCTCAAATATTTCTGCTATTATACTTCTGTGATGAACATCTTTGTGCACTTTAGAAATGTTTCCTGAGACTACATTCCAAAAAGTAAAATTACTATCTGAAAAACAGAGATACTTTTAGAGTTCCCAATGCACATTGCTGAATTGTCTTCCAAAAATCTTTATAAATTTACTCTCACATTAGCTAAGCAATGGATAAAAATGTCATTTCATTGCACTCTTGCCGGAACTGAGTAATGTATATATGCAGGAATTATATCCATTTAAACTTAATATCCAATTTCTGTTTAGTCCTAGACCGATCTACACTAAGACACCATGAAGGAGTATGTGCTCCTATTATTCCTGGGTTTGTGCTCTGCCAAACCCTTCTTTAGCCCTTCACACATGGCACTGAAGAATATGATGCTGAAGGATATGGAAGACACAGATGATGATGATGATGAGGAGGAGGAGGACAACTCTCTTTTTCCAACAAGAGAGCCAAGAATCCCTTTTTTCCCATTTGATCTGTTTCCAATGTGTCCATTTGGATGTCAGTGCTATTCACGAGTTGTACATTGCTCAGATTTAGGTAAGAATATAAGCCAATTTTGTTTTGAAGAATAATAATGCTATTCTGACAATTTGAAGGATGGAAAAAGTCTTCACAGAAATTTCAAAAATAATCTCACTGATTGTACAAGATTTTTTTCATTTAAGTTTTCAGGTGGAAAGTACTGCAAACCTCAAAGTACATCCAAACTTATTTTTAAAATTAAGAAAATCAGAGGAAAACTAAGGGAATGTTGTACATAGAACATTTCCTTCTCTTCCCCAGTTAAATCAAAGCATTTAATTTTAATTCCCTTTAGAGAGAATGGACATCACATGCAGCTCTATCTCAGGGTGTTAGCAGGTTGAGACTATACTTTTAAGTAAAACTCCATGATAACAAAATAAGCTGCGTGTCTAGAACAATGAAACGAGTTACAGAAAGCTTGTGAAATCTCTAATCTAGACCTTTTAAAGATAATGCTTTATTTGCTTTTTAACAATGTGGGTTTAAAACTGCCTAAGAGAAAAGTGGATAAAGTCTTTTTAAAATTTATAATTCTTTGCTGAGTATTTTCTTTAATACTTCTAATGAAGGAGCACTCAAGAGCACACCCATGCCCTGTTCAGGGAGGGGACATGATGGCAATGCATATCAAGAGTTGTTGCCCTCAGTTATTTCCAAGAGGAGACAGCTGAGACTGACCCCACTGTGGAGGTCAAGGTTTGGCACACAACTCCCACTCAGGGGCTGATGGCCCAGCAGGGTCACTTCATGAGTCTATATGAGCAGATGTCTTGAAAAGCATTAGACTTGCTTCCTACTGCCATAGCATTCATGGCAAGAGTTAAAGCTTATAATAATCTACTCTAGAGACCTTAATGAAGTTTGTCATTATATGACAAAATGAGAGGCGAACAAAAAGCATTCAGGAAAAGGGGAGACTAATATGAGCTAGACTTACTAGTAAAGTCTAATGAAATAGGCTAGGAAAGAAATGGGTCTTACGCTTTACCTATGGAATTCTCATGAGAAAGAGATTAAGATGCAAGTACTGTTTGAGAAAACTTGTTCATGCAGAATGACTGTGGAAAGAGCAGCAGGCACAAGAAATGCAGAAGCTGAGACAGATGGTGGGTGCGAGACGAGGTTAGTCAGGGAATACGAGAACATACTATTGTATTAAACTGCATCTCAGACAAGAAAAAACATTACCTGCTATCAGTTTGCAGAATGGGTGCATGTTAAAGCACTTGTAAGTCAAAATTCCAGATAAAAATATGTGTATCTGCTATGACTCCACTAGATGTAAACTGGGTTGGTTCTGGTAAGATGGCGAATAAGGACACATTTATCTTTAGCGCAGATCACCCCCACGTGCTAGCCTCCATATGTGCCACGGCAGAGCAGTCATACGCTTCCAACATTTAGACCCTGGATGAGACATTGCATAAAACTGCTCCAGTACACACTTGTCACCGAAGACCTGAGAAGCCCAACCTACCTCATGGCAGGAATCTGGTGTTCCCATCACACAGTCTCCCGAACATTTAGCTTTGAAAAAACTCTAGTAAACAAAATCCACCTAAGGATATCTGTGACAGTCAGACATGCCATCAGCATGCTGCCGCAACCACCCTACCAAAACATGACCATAAAAAGGGTCTGGGCCCTTATCACTCTTCCTCCCTCAGGAGATGAAACTCTTTTCAGAACTTCAGTTTCAACAGGGGCAGGGCAGGAGTAGGTTTGTCAAAATCTGTGTTACCAGGAGGATTCCTTCTGCAGAACCTCCAGTTTCCTATAAGACTTCCACTTCGTTTTTTAAAACCAAAATAATTTCCTGTGTTCATAAAAATGGCAAAATAAATCTATTCTAACAAACAGAACTGCCCCTCTACCTTGCTAATTTATCAAGTTAACCCCCTATTCTTCCCATATAGAGTTAAATTTCTTGAGTGTCAATTTTATTTTATTATTATTATTATTATTACTTTTGTTTTTCGAGACAGAGTCTTGCTCTGTCGCCCAGGCTGGAGTGCAGTGGTGCGATCTCGGCTCACTGCAAGCTCCGCCTCCCAGGTTCATGCCATTCTCCTGCCTCAGCCTCCCGAGTATCTGGGACTATAGATGCCTGCCACCACGCCCGGCTAATTTTTTTGTATTTTTTAGTAGAGATGGGGTTTCATCGTGTTAGCCATGATGGTCTCGATCTCCTGACCTCATGATTCGCCTGCCTCGGCCTCCGAAAGTGCTGGGATTACAGGCGTGAGCCACGGCGCCCGGCCTGTTTTATTATTATTATTATTTTTGAGACAGAGTCCCACTCTGTCACCCAGGTTGGAGTGCAATGGCACTATCTTGGCTCGCTGCAACCTCTGCCTCCTGGGTTTAAGCGATTCTCCTGCCTCAGCCTCCCAAGTAGCTGGGACTACAGGCATGTGTAACAAGGCCCAGCTAATTTTTGTATTTTTAGTAGAGACGGGGTTTCACCATGTTGGTCAGGCTGGTCTTACAACTCCTGACCTCAAGTGATCCACCCACCTTGGCCTCCCAAAGTGCTGGGATTACAGGTGTGAGCCACCACGCCTGGCCAATTTTAAAGTATGGAAAGGAAAAGTACACAGAGCTGTAGGATAGAATGTTGATATTCAAATACTAGATTTTCAATTCTTCAATTTTTGGCTATTAAATGTATGACTATACTTCAGGAGTGAGGATGGTTCTATCAAAAGTGTACTGACATCTAGGCCAAGGCAGGAGGATAACTTGAGTCCAGGAGTTCGAGACTAGCCTGGCCAACATGACAAAACGCTGTGTTTACTAAAAATACAACAATTAGCCAGGCATGGTGGTACACATCCTAGCTACTCGGGAGGCTAAGACAGGAGAATTACTAGAACCCAGGAGGCAGAGGTTGCAGTGAGCTGAGATGGTGCCACTGCACTCCAGCCAGGGCGACAGAGCAAGACTGTCTCAAGAAAAAAAAAAAAAAAAAGAATTAGGTATGAATCAGCATGTGGAAATCAAAGAATTTACAACTAATTAGAGGAATTAATTAAAGGAAATGGGTGGCAAAGTTTTTGGTAATATACATGAAAGAAATCTAATTTTTCTATTTTCTAAACACAACTTTCTAAGGCTTCTTAAAATGATCAAGATCCGGCCGGGCACAGGGGTTCACAACTGTAATCCCAGGACTTTGGGAGGCCCAGTCGGGCGGATCGTGAGGTCAGGACTCTGAGACCAGCCTGACCAACATAGTGAAACCCCGTCTCTACTAAAAATACAAAAATTAGCCAGGCGTGGTGGCACACGCCTGTAATCCCAGCTACTCAGGAGGCTAAGGCAGAAGAACTGCTCAAACCCGGGAGGTGGAGGTTGCAGTGAGCCGAGATCACACCACTGCACTCCAACCTGGGCAACAGAGCGAGACTCCATCTCAAAAAAAAAAAAAAAAGAAAGAAGGAAAAATTATCAAGACCCATATGCTCCAATTTAGCACTATAACAGCCTGAAAATTTGCAAAGAAAGCTAATATTCCTCAGCCAAAGGTACATCAACAGAAGCTGCACCTCAGTGGTTGATCACCTTCTCACAGCCACCAGGGCAGCTCCAATTTATCTCCTTTTATTCCACCTTAGAGGGGATGAGTGGTGACAGCTATACTAATCTAGACACCTTGTAAAAATTAGTAAGTTACTCAAAAAGGTCCTGAGGTCTTCCCCCAAAACAATGTTTTTTTAGTCATCTGTTATGACTGTTAAATCATGTGTAACTTGATGATAATCATGGGTTTAAAAAAATGTGTTTCTACCATATTAGTAATCTCATCTTCAGCATGATTCTCTACTATATAATATGTTTGTTTCTTTCTAAGGTTTGACCTCAGTCCCAACCAACATTCCATTTGATACTCGAATGGTTGATCTTCAAAACAATAAAATTAAGGAAATCAAAGAAAATGATTTTAAAGGACTCACTTCGCTTTATGTAAGAATATATCCTCATACTTTCAAATATTTAAGTGAAAACTCTTTGCTATAATTATTAATTATATAATCTTTGCTATAATGATTAATTATACTACTTTTCTGTATGTAAAGAATGACAAAAATCCCTGCATTCAACAGGGTTCTAGTCAATTAAAAATTACAGATTTCATTCAATTAATAGTCTAATTCAATGGATGTTTATTAAATAATAGCCATGTAAAAGGCAGTGGGCTGAGCTTAATGGTCCTCAAATAAGCTTACAATCTATTCAGGTAGTAACAGTCACTATACATTAAAATGAACAAGAAAACAATTACTTACAGCAATCATTAGCAAACAGTGTAAGAAATCTCTACCCAAACGTGTATAGACACCACAAATCTCTAACAGCAGCACACAGAATATATCTGATTGATTAATATATACACGTATGGCTTCTTTATTGGATCTTTAAAGAGGAAAATAATTTTTCTTTACTATATTAGTATCATTTTAATATTCTAGGATTTAAAAGATTACTACTTCCACGTTTAACATTTTGGGCTGGGTGTGGTGGCTCATGCCTATAATCCCAGCACTTTGGGAGGCTGAGGCGGGTGGATCACTTGAGCCCAAGAGTTCGAGATCAGCCTGGGCAACATAACAAGACTCCACCTCTTTAAAAAATATAAAATTAGTTGGCATGGTGGTGGTGCATGTAGTCTTAACTGGGAGGTAGAGGTTGCAGTGAGCTGTGACTATGCCACTGCACTCCAGCCTGGGTGACACAGTAAGACCCTGTCTCGAAAACAAAAACAAACCAAAAAACCATTTTGAAGTTTCTAGATTTTAGCAAGTAAAATTTCTGACTTAGTCTGAAATTGGGTTTGGAGGAGCGCCTCATTTCCCCCGCCACAGCTGTGGAAGTATCACCACCTCCCCTCAGCACAGCTCCTGCCTCGCTGACTCCGGCGTGGTGTTAGAGGAAGAGCTCTGGTTCTGTATCATCTGAGGTGGTAAGCCAGGCCTGGCTATTCCAGGCCATTTCCCCACACTCTCAGGCTGTGCTGGAGAAAGCAAATTTAAAGTCTGTCATCTCTAAGTAAGCTAAAACTAAGAGAACAGGGTAGAAAATACCATAACCATACTAGCCCCTTGCTACCATGCAGGCCTGGCTCTGTTCCTGTGGCTGAGAGATGAGGGGTCACCAAGCCTCCCTGTCACCCTGGGTCAGTGCAGCGGACCCTCTGGCCCATCCCTTCCTCCATGTCACCCTGGGATCGAGGCATGTATGCTCATCATACTTAAGGCAGACTGAGGGATGCTCAATCCTCACATTAAGCCTCCCTGCAAAATCCAACTCTCACACTGCACTGTCAGGTAGCCAGCACCTTGTCTGCTGTTTTCACTTTCAAAGTGTGCAGGCAGCTCAGATCTGGTAAGGCTCCACATCAATATAAAAGAGCAACTAGAAGAGTGTATATTTATAAGTTAGGTCTCACTAAAACACTAAGACAATCAGAAATGACACAATGGATTCCGCTGAGGATTCACCCAGTCCACCCACTAACTTTAGGCCACAGAATCTTTGGGAGAATGGCAAGGCCATTATTCTACCATCAGAAGTTGGAGATACAGCCTGTTGATGTGTTTACCACTTCTTCAACCCCTTTTCAGCTTAGATTACCACAAGAATAATAACTAATGGCATATTTAATACTGGGGCTATGAAAGTTTTAAATCCTAATTTTAGGAGCATTCCAGGGACTTAGCTCATATGTATTCTTGTTATTCACCAGGAAATGAGAAACTAAAAGGTATCAGGATCTTTCTTAGACCTACTTGATTTTCTCTGAGAAATGCATGTCAGGTACAGAGCAATGGTGGGGAAGCCCCCAGCTGTTAAGTAGTATTACTGCCAAGCTACTATTAGCAGACTGACCCGACTGACCGGGTGTACTAATGTAAATCACTTTTTAAAGTACTTTAAAAAATATATAAAAGTATTAAAAAAAGAATAAAATGCTTTGTATTTGAATTGTGGGTATACCATATAATTACAAAACATTTATATAATTATAATATCACCTTATATATGTCTTTTAAGAGACTCAAACTATATTTTAGACATTCTACAAATTCTCTGTGTTATGTTTTAGCTGCTTATTTGGCACTCGGGTTCTTACACAAAGAATGATACAGTCAGAGCAAAATCACTGAACACATTCACAGCCCTCCCAGCTCACTTCCAGCCATTATCAGATACATGTGGCATGAATCACTGTCCTACTACTGAATGGCTAGGCTCTTCTCATCTTCTGTCCTTACACTGTTTGTTAATGATGAAGAGGCTCTGTGACCACCAAGTCGGCACTGAGAGTGCAGTTTAACTGGATCACTTAGCCAGCTCACCATGCAGGGCAGTCCACCGTGTGGCGCGGCTCTTACTAGTCCTGCGCAAAACCTCTTACACAGTTTTGTATTACTTTTCCTTCCTTTTACACAGTTCCAACAACTGCATGTTTTAATCAGGAAAAACAAACTAACAAAAGCCCAATGCACTAGACTTGGATCTCACTGACGCACAGGTTCACTTTGTGGTGGGGCCTCTCTAACCCTCACTTGTTGGATGGCATAGGCAAGTCACCTTTCTTCACTTTATGCATTTCCTCTTCACTAAAAGGAGAGTAATCATTCCAGCTAAATTTACCTCATGGAGTCAAGAGAGGATTCACAAACCATCTCGATCATCCACCAAGTTGTTAAATTCCCCTCGCCTCATTTTTCAGTGTAACCAAAGGAAAAGAGAAGATACTTTCAGTTGGCATCACACACTCAGAAACGAGGATATTTTACCAGTTGGTAACAAAATGTAGTTTCACCTCTTCTCCTAGGCTTACCCTTTCTTGGTGAAACTTTTAGCAATAGTGATCTATCTGGAATTTCCGGAGGGTGAGAAAAGGAAAGCACAAAGGGCCAAGAGTGAGATGAGGAAACGTGCAGATAAAAGGAGTTTACTGAGCAACCAAAATGTGTATTTCTGCCATGGAAAAACAACAACAATGTGAGTAATACCAGTGAGGCATATTTTTCCAGTCTGGAAACAAAGGGAGATTTTTGTGAAATGAATTTGAGAACAAAATCATAAAATGAATGAATCTAGAGCTGCTCCTTGAGAAAATCAGATGACCTGGATTGGTAAAGAGGGACAGAAAGGTCCTGAAGACGCTCAGTGACCTGTCATCGTTCTTGGTAAACATAGAAAATTCTCTCTGAATAATCTGGCAATGAGTAAAGAACTGAGCTATGTTCATTTTGCAATGCAAATCGTTATCAGTGTTACCAACATGTCCCAGTTTGCCTAGGACATTCCCAGTTTTGGTTCTGAAATCCCCACATCCCATAATCTCATGATCTGGGCAAACTGAGATGGTTGGTCACCCAAGCAGCCACTCACCCTTGGACATGTTGCAAGGACTTGGTAGCAGAGAGCACACTCACACTGGTACGAGCTCTTTTTACTCTCTGGAGTTACCAGACCCCCTCTGGAGGATGCTGTCTTATTGCCCTGAGAAATATCCAAAACACTGATAAGAGATTGAGTCATTTCTCAGCATCCATTACTATCTCCCCAATATGTAAAATATGCCAGAATGCTGAAGGCACTTTGTAGGAGTTTTTTCCTTTTAGGTCTCTGTTCTGGGAGAAATGGTAAACATTAGTAAATATGAAAGAAGTGAGGTTTTCAAAGTAGACAAAATCATGCAAAAGTATATTTGGTGCGCATTAAACATAGTTTTGTAGGGTAAATAGATTTTAAGATAAGATAAAGATAATATCGTTGGTCACTTCCCTGAAGGGAAATAGAAGGCTGAGTAGAGGCTGAAGCCTTAACCATATGAATGTGTTATCTATTCAAAGATTTAAAAGATGCACTTCTATCTAAACCAATGGCACAACATTAATTATTAAAGCTCTGCACTTTTCTAACTCATTAGTAAAAATTTTTTTAAAACTTAGATTGGGCTGGGAAATTTTTTACATGGGTGATCTAGTACACCAATGATATAAATTATACTGATTTCCATGATTGGCTAATCACTGTAGAATACTGGTAAATTAAATCCACTTCCTAATATTGTGTCACTTTCTATGCTTGATCAAGGGTCTGATCCTGAACAACAACAAGCTAACAAAGATTCACCCAAAAGCCTTTCTAACCACAAAGAAGTTGCGAAGGCTATATTTGTCCCACAATCAACTAAGTGAAATACCACTTAATCTTCCCAAATCATTAGCAGAACTCAGAATTCATGAAAATAAAGTTAAGAAAATACAAAAGGACACATTCAAAGGAATGAATGCTTTACATGTTTTAGGTAAGTTTTTCAAATGAATGGGACATCTTGAAATTATAACAAACAGATGTAGAACACTTTATCGCCACTATTAAGAATAATTTCCAAAATTAATGTTTGAATATAATAATCTTTGCCTAGATAAGCCATTTATAAATCAATTAAAATGTCCAACAAAATTTTTAGCACTTAAAGAAAATATGACCTTTGTAATACTGTCTCTCTTTTCCTCAAGAACCTCCTTTGAGGCCAGGCTTGGTGGCTCACGCCTGTAATCCCAGCACTTTGGGAGGCCAAGGCGGGCGGATCACCTGAGGTCAGGAGTTTGAGACTAGCGTGGCCAACATGGTAAAACCCCGTCTCTACTGAAAATACAAAAATTAGCCAGGCATGGTGATGGGCACCTGTAATCTCAGCTACTCGGGAGGCTGAGGCAGGAGAATTGCTTGATCCCAGGAGGCGGAGGTTGCAGTGAGCCGAGATTGTGCCACTGCACTCCAGCCTGGGTGACAGAGCGAAACTCCATTTCAAAAAAAAAGAACCTCCTTTGAAAGACTTAGCGTGGTTTCTGTTTCTGACCAGACCCTAATTAATAAAATATAAATTATTCTTATTTAATTTAAAGGTAGTATTTTTAATGTATTGCATAAGCTACTCAAATATAATATATAAAATTAGTTCGGATATTATTTAGAATGTGCACCTAACATTTGGTTATCTGCTTTAAGATTATCGATGTGAGGAATTTTTTGTCTTATATTTAAAACTCTACCTGATTTTATTTCTAACACCCATCATATAACCATGCCATCTCCCTATAATATCCATTCAAAATTCATAACCAATAATACTAATTCATTTATTCATTTAATTCAACCAAGTGCCTGGCCTCACTTACTGGCATTTCTTCAAAGTTATATTTCTGCTAACAAAACAATAATTTATAATTGACTTACAATTTTAAAAAGTTTAAGACACAAAAATGTACACAGAAAAATGTAAGCATTTTGGATTATATGAAGGATGATCTTTTTTGATGCACTATTATAATAAAAAAACCTTAATTGTGCTCATGGTTGGAGGAGAGTGAAAATGTCACTGATTTGGTAATTCAAAGTGAATAATAGTGAACTGCTCATATATTCCAGTTTACATAATACAAAGCAGTATTTTTCTGTTGCTGACAGAAAGGACAGTAGATAGACAGAAGCAGATATACTGAGTGAGAATGAGCCTAGACGAAGGTCACGCTTCTTGGGATATTCATTCTTGGGATGTGTCTCTCTGTACTGCAAATTTCCTTTATATACAACCTATATGTGCTAAGTCATGTCATTCTCCTCCGACAGAAATGAGTGCAAACCCTCTTGATAATAATGGGATAGAGCCAGGGGCATTTGAAGGGGTGACGGTGTTCCATATCAGAATTGCAGAAGCAAAACTGACCTCAGTTCCTAAAGGTTTGTATTTACTTTATCTAAGATATGGTATTTTAAAGTTGTCACCTTTCAGTAACGATTAAATCTAATATTGGAAACTGTGCAGTATACACTGCAACTAGAAATCCTTGCACCAGTAAATCTGGTCAATGTAGTCTACACACACATAAAATGCCATATGTAGTGCTTTTTTTTCCTGACAGAATTAAGCCATAATTTTTTTTTACTCCACTAAGAATAAACACTAAGAAGCAATGAATGTTTCATTTTCCTTCTCTTTCCTGACATTTACTCATTTATACCTGTCATTCTGTGAAGTACCTGTTAGAGGTGGGAAATCTATACGGAAGAAAGCGGAGAAAGATAGATGGGGCAAGAGACCCTGTCCCCAGGCATTTAGCCGCAGTTTGAGGTGGAGCCTATGAGGCCAGACTGGGCAGCCCCTAGCTCTGGCAGGAATGGCATCCAGCTTCTTCCCAGGTATACCGTGAAGATTAATGGACCAATACACAGAAAGGTTTGGGGACAACATCCAGCAGATAGGAAGTGACCACCTGTGACATAATCATTACCAAGATGAGCACTGTGCTCTTTATCATGGCTTTGTGTGACCCAAGGCTAGCACCTCAAGTAGAATGCTCCTTAAGTCTGCCAGATGGCCAGTGTTCTAACCCATTACTTCCAAGCTCCCTGTCTGATGATTAGCTGCATAGGATTGCCTTTCTTGGAACTCTTGCTCAAAGTCTTGCTTTCCTTATTCCCAACAAGGGCACATACTCTCTTTGCTTTGATGACTAACTGGGTCAAAAATAACCCCTATGATTAACAACATATTTTTACTTTCCAACAACTGTCTTTCAGTATCCATGAGTTAAAGCAGTAACTTCATCACGACCCCCTCTAATCTACTCAGCTGACCCAGAAGATCAATAAAACAAACATACACAGATAATTTAAAAGATATAGTAAAGCTGTTATTATTAATCAAGAGGTGACTTTTTACTTAGGTCACCTAAAGATCATCTAAAGTAAAAGAGGAAAGATAATTTTTCTATCCAGGAACACAACAGTTTAATTCAGAACTATACCAATCCAAAAAACCATCTTAGTCTAGCTTTAAAGGAGGTGGATGTTTTTCTACAAGAAACCAAAAATGTTACATTTACCTTTCCATTTTAGAAAAGCAACAAAAAATGCAAATGCTATCCAATAAGTTAAACATATAAAATCCCTTTCATATGCTGGAAGCTGACATCCAGTAAAGGAGAGTGAAGACAAGGAAAAGAAGGTAGAGGGACATGAGGAGGGCAGCCTACAGGTCTGGAGGAGGGAGGTGCTGTTCCAGGCTGCATTTCCTGGCATGGCCATTCTTTATGTTCACACCAGAAGACTTTCCTACACTGCAAAATTCTCTTTATATTTTAAAGGGTATCTTAAAAGTAAAGGTTTAACTTCTCATGAAGTTTTCAAGATTCTTTCAAAGCCAAAAGGAATCTTTAGAAATTTAAATTGGAATCAAATCTCTCAACTTAAATAACTATTCCTTCAAATCCCTTTGACATTCAGAATTCACTAACCTGTGAAAGTTGACTGCCTGTGTGGCATAATCCAGTCAATATTACCCTCTGTGGCAAGATGAAAGGATGTAGATATCCTGAGGGTCCTCACCAGACCCAACAAGTTATCATGTGGACAGGAAGAAAATGTCTTCTTTCCTATTCGTTCAGGAAGTTCTACTGCATAATGACACTGTGTGGGGAAGAAGGGAGACCTGTGTGAAGACAGGGTGGGAATAGAAATTCCGGTACAAAAGTGTGCTAACATTTGTCAGCAGTTACTGAGCTTCTGCCAAATTCACACCTCTGCTCGTTTACCCCAGAGGCTACACTTGACTCTTCTCTCTGGTTACCCACCTTCCTCATTTCCTAAGGGACACAACAGTTCCCTCAACTTCTACAAGTCCTCTCCCAGAGATTTCTCTCTTCTGACTTTGTACAACCTATTCTAGAACAGGCTGACACATTGCATCAGTTATTTTTCCAGTGATTTTTGTATGTATGATGGATCTGCTTGATTAGAATATAATGTCTTTGAGGACAGAACCTTTATTTACATACTGGAGGGTCCATATAATCATTCCATAAATACAATTAAGCTCAATTAATCACAATTCAAGAAATTAGAACCTTCTCGGTTTAGAATAATTATTTTTCTGCTCCCTAGTTTATTTATTTTAAAATTCAAAGTAGATTCTGTTATCAAAATAAATTCAGTCATGAAGACTATTATTGCTATTCATAAGGATGTTTCAATTATCTTCATCAGTCTTTATTGCTAATATAGAAAGGAAATATTTCATCAAGAGTTGAAACAAGGAAAGCATTTTCCAGCTAGCTAACCAGATACTTGGGTTAACAAATAATACTTTGTATATAGGGCTAACAAAATCAGGTTTGACGGGACCTTCTGGTCAGTCCCTTTTATTCCAGCTTCAGTTCATCTGGGGAGAGTGGGGGTCAGGATATGCCCCCGTGAGAAGAGAAGGAATAATTATTCACTGGGCACCTGCCATGTGCGGGGGTACTACAGATACACTTAGTTTACAGAAAACTACTGCTAATTGAAAGAACAGAGCCAGGCACAGTGGTTCATGCCTGTAATCTCAGCATTTTGGGAGGCCAAGGCAGGCAGATCACTTGAGATCAGGAGTTCAAGACCAGTCTGGCCAACATGATGAAACCCCATCTCTACTAAAAATGCAAAAATTAGCTGGGTATGGTGGTGCACGCCTGTAGTCCCAGCTACTTGGGAGGCTGAGGCAAGAGAATCAGTTGAACCTGGGAGGTGGAGGTTGCAGTGAGCCAAGACTGTGTGACTGTGCTACTACACTCCAGCCTGGGTGACGGAGTGAGACCCTGCCACAAAAAAAAAAAAAAAAAAAAAAAAAAAAAAAGAAAAGAAAAAGAAAAAAGAAAAGAAAAGGAAGAATAAATACTGCAATGACTTGAACATATCAAACAGAGTAAAAATCCATGTTTATAATCGTGTTAAAAAAAAAACAACACAAAAAACCTTAACTGGTCACCTCTGGGCATTGCATGAATTCATTACTTGAAACAATCAAGTTTTGCTGCCTTTTCTATAAAAATAATCTTACAAAGTAACCAAATAATTAATGAAAGAAAATTCTTTAGAGAAGAGTTCCAACTAATAAATCCATAAAGAATGACATCAGGAAGTCACCATTTTCCAATTCCTAATGAGAGAATGGATCTAGGCAACAATCGTGCATGAATGCTAAGACCTTCAGGTGAAAGGTTGATTTACTTCTATCTGAATGCATCTCTGGATCTGACTACCAGGGCACAAGAAGAAGGTAAAGGATTCTGATAAATGATATTACATGGAAGTTGTCAGCCAAATCCACAAAAGGAGTGTCTCAAACAAATAAATAATATAGAAATAAATCAACAGAAGAGGGAGAAAAAAGGAGGGAGTATGTTGTACATTAAGAGAGATTTCAAGAGCGATAAGAAACAAATGTATTCTGTAAACTTCATTTAATCCTAACTTGAACAAATCAACTGTAAAATGACATATTTGAGACAACTGGGGAAACTTTACGATATTAAATGACAGTAAACAATTTATTAATTTTGTTAGATGTGATATTAACAGGGTGGTTATGTTAAAGAAAAAAAACAACAAGATGACCTTATCAGTTACAGACATCCAGTTGAAGATTTTATAGATGAAATGACATTATGTATAAGATTTGACTTTAAATACTCCAGCAAAAGAAATGTGGCAAAATAAAAACAGATAAACAAGTCAATAAATAATTAATAGAGGAGATGAAACAAGATAGGAAAAATGGAGATAACTGTTGAAGCTGAGCATGGTGGTTCTTAATACTAGTTTCTATTTTTATGAATGGTTACAATTTTACCATAATAAGAAGTTAATAAATACTAAGTATCAGGCCGGGTGTGGTGGCTCAAGCCTGTAATCCCAGCACTTTGGGAGGCCGAGGCGGGTGGATCACCTGAGGTCAGGGGTTCGAAACCAGCCTGGCCAATATGGTGAAACTCCATCTCTACTAAGAAATACAAAAAATTAGCCAGTTATGGTGGTGCGTACCTGTAATCCCAGCTACTCAGGAGGCTGAGGCAGAAGAACTGCTTGAACCTGGGAGATGGAGGTTGCAGTAAGCCGATACTGCAGCACTGCAATCCATCCTAGGCAACAAGAGTGAAACTCGGTCTCAAAAAAAAAAAAAAAAGAGCAAGTACCTAAAAACTTGCCTAAATCCATAATCTGAAACTTGAAAAGTAAACAAATAGACAATGGGGCTTGGTTATACTTGACTTAACATATATCTTTCTCTTCTTATTAGGCTTACCACCAACTTTATTGGAGCTTCATTTAGATTACAATAAAATTTCAACAGTGGAACTTGAGGATTTTAAACGATACAAAGAACTACAAAGGTAAAAATTCCCAAAATTTTAACTTAGAATGATACCTCCTGGAGAATGTGCACAGGGACCCTGGTAGAGATCACTGTCTGTTTAGCCAGCTGCTGCTGGAACTGGAGTGTGTGAGGGGAAAACTAGAAAGAACCACCATTGGCTGGGTGAGGTGGCTCACGCCTGTAATCCCAGCACTTTAGGAGGCTAAGGCGGGTGGATCACAAGGTCAAGAGTTCGAGACCAGCCTGGCCAACATGGTAAAACAAAAATTAGCCAGGCATGGTGGAGGGTGCCTGTAATCCCAGCTACTCAGGAGGCTGAGGCAGGAGAATCGTTTGAACCCAGGAGGCAGAGCTTGCAGTGAGCCGAGATCATGCCACTGTATTAAAGCCCAGGCAACAGAGCGAGACTCTGTCTCAAAAAAAAAAAAAAAAAAAAAAAAAGAACCAACATTATTACCACCTCTGCTGATAGCGGCAAATCAAGTGAAAAGAAGAAAATGACTTTTCAAATTTCCCTTTTGTTAAATTTAGGTTAAAGAATTTTCTGACAAAACTGGGAGATGGTTGTTACATACTGAAAATAGGTTTAAAGTCGTGAAATATCTTTGTCTGAACATATATATAAATAGGACAGGCTTATATTCTAACGAGTTTGTGGTGTTTTCAGCTAACTCTATCACACCTAACTATCTGTGTAAGACTTGATGCATTTTATATCACTTTTAGGCTGGGCCTAGGAAACAACAAAATCACAGATATCGAAAATGGGAGTCTTGCTAACATACCACGTGTGAGAGAAATACATTTGGAAAACAATAAACTAAAAAAAATCCCTTCAGGATTACCAGAGTTGAAATACCTCCAGGTAAAACATTCTACTTGTGTTCAGTAGGTATCAGTATTTTCTTTAGTTTTTATAACACACTTTAGCATACCTCAAGCACAGACCAAGTAAGCAGCAAGGGTGATTCAAACACAATGACTCTCCAGGTTGCATGAGGTGTTTTAAGAAGTAGGAGAGCTTTAGGAGAATGTTTCTACGTCGGCGTCACAAGAAAGCTCAGGATCCATTTCCATCTTTTGGTTTCTCCTGTTGGAACTGCTGAGGACATTGTGGCAAAGCCGCTGGCACAGTTAATTTCAGATTTTAGGGCAGGGATGGCTCTGCAGAGGCAGGACTAGTCAGGAGGACATGGAGTAGGGTCACATGTTCTTTTGATCTGGAAACATTTCTCAAGGTACAGCAAGAGGATTAGGCTCCCGCTATTTTCGCTTTCAGTCTGGTGCCAGGATAGACATGTATATGTTTTTAAAAAACATTCCAACCAGAATACAGTATATAACCAATTTAAAGTCACCATCTGGAGCATCATGAGTTCCTATTTTGTCGTTTGTTGTTATTCATTATTAGAAATCTTTTCCTTCCAATTTGACAACTCTTAACTGGCTGGGAGGGGTCACAGATTTCTCGGAGAATCTAATAAAGATTTAAATCTTCCCAAGAACAAAAGTTTTCATCTTCAAAGGAGCTTGAGAACAAAACTGGGCATCAAGCCACTTTGCCTCTTCTCTATTTCTTTCCAATGTATCTTTAAACAAGTTTCGTTCACTGTACTCCTTTGAGATACAAACCATCAAAATGAATGCAATATAGGCAGGTGCTAATTTCAAGGTGACAACTTTTGCTTTGACTTTTCCAAATGCTGCATTTGGATGTCTGTTTAGCCGGTGACTACAACTTGAGTCTGTCCTCTCTCAAGCTGCCCCATCCCTGATGTCATTTCTGCTTCATTTGCTCCACAACTCTGCTTCCAGTTTCTGGTCTCTCTTAAATCTACCTATACTCTTGCTAGCATTAATAAAATGAACAGAATGATAACACAAACAGAAGAACACAAGTCATAAGCATACACTTCAGTGAATGCCCACAAAGTAAACACACTGATGTCCAGCAGGTTTTCATTCCCAGTGAGATCAGTACTATGGCAAACTATACCTTGCACTGATATTGAGCAGCTGGGGGACTGAACACCAAACTTAAATGTTTTAGCAATGCCTAGAATTTTTTCATGATTGGGCTCATATCAGTCTTACTAAGACATAAAGGGAGAATCTAGAGGTAACAACAGCCAGGGAAGATATCCCACTTTGGCCAGCAAAAGGCTTCTGCTCTTCAGCATACCAAAATGCTATCAGTTAAATAGATGGCTTTTATTTCCCAGAAATCTCACTGTTACCAAAAAAGGCCAAAGAAGGAATTAGAAGGGCTGTTAAAGGGAATGAAGAAAGTTCCTCTATTTACCATACTTTTTGAGTAAGAATTTAACTTAAAAAGACATGTACATGGCCTATAAAATTGTGACTTGTCCACTGGTGTACACAAGATTGATTTCAACTACTGATGCTATATTACAATTATGCATTTAAGATGTTGATAGATCTTTCTACAAAACAACTTACAAAAATTCTCCTTTGGTCACATAAAATGCCAGCTAATAATTCTTCACAATCATATTGTGAGCCTAATTCTTGCAGCATTAAATTTCATTCTTCTGATCATTTCTAATGTTTTAAATTCATTATTGTAAATATGGCACTGAAGTAACCATATATATACACATATATATGTATATTTAAAAATATATATATATGTATTATATATAAGTAAACATTATGTATGTATGCATGCATGTATGTATGTATGTATCTATCTATCTATCTATCTATCTATCTACTATCTATTGATCTATCTGGAGTGAGACAGAGACAGTGACCCATGTGACCAGGCAGAGCCAGGCACAGTGGTTCATGCCTGTAATCCCAGCATTTTGGGAGGCCAAGGAAGGCGGATCACTTGAGGTCAGAAGTTCAAGACCAGTCTGGCCAACATGATGAAACCCCATCTCTAGTAAAAATGCAAAAATTAGCTGGGCATGCTCTAGGCCTTGGCAGGAGTCCTTCCCCAACACTTTTGTGTACAACACATGAGTTTGAGTTGTTATAATAGGTATTTAACATGCATAAGTGAGTACATCTACTTTACCTGGAAATACATTCAAGCCGATGTAAAATAAACAGAGGAATAAACCCATAAACAAATGGCGACTACAGAGTATCTTCTGTTTACATTTACTGGGTATTTTTAATCCTTTCTTTTTTCCTACTACAACAGATAATCTTCCTTCATTCTAATTCGATTGCAAGAGTGGGAGTAAATGACTTCTGTCCAACAGTGCCAAAGATGAAGAAATCTTTATACAGTGCAATAAGTTTATTCAACAACCCAGTGAAATACTGGGAAATGCAACCTGCAACATTTCGTTGTGTTTTGAGCAGAATGAGTGTTCAGCTTGGGAACTTTGGAATGTAATAATTAGTAATTGGTAATGTCCATTTAATATAAGATTCAAAAATCCTTACATTTGGAATACTTGAACTCTATTAATAATGGTAGTATTATATATACAAGCAAATATCTATTCTCAAGTGGTAAGTCCACTGACATTTTATGACAAGAAATTTCAACAGAATTTTGCCAAACTATTGATACATAAGGGTTAAGAGAAACAAGCATCTACTGCAGTTTCTTTTTGCGTACAAATGATCTTACATAAATCTCATGCTTGACCATTCTTTATAACAAAAAAGTAAGACATTCAGTATTTAACACTTTATTATCAAGCATATTTTAAAAAGAACTGTACTGTAAATGGAATGCTTGACTTAGCAAAATTTGAGCTCTTTCATTTGCTGTTAGAAAAACAATTAACAAAGACAGTAATGCGAAGAGTACATTATACTATTCTTATTCTTTAATAACTTGGGTAGTACTGTAATATTTTTAATCATCTTGAAGTATGATTTGATATAATCTTATTGAAATTATCTTATCATATCTTAGAGTCCATCTTTATGTTTAAAACTAATTTCTTAAAATAAAGCCTTCAGTAAATGTTCATTACCAACTTGATAGATGTTACTCATAAGAGCTGGTTTGGGGCTATAGCAAATGCTTTTTTTTTTTTTTTTAATTATTATAACCCGATTTAAAAATCTGTGTAAAATGTGTAGTGTTTATATAAAATCTGTAACCTGCATTTTAATGATCAGCTATTATAAGCTTTTAATAGTATGAAAATTGTTAGGCTATATAACATTGCCACTTCAACTCTAAGGAATATTTTTGGGATATCCCTTTGGAAGATCTTGCTTGGAAGAGCCTGGACACTAACAATTCTACACCAAATTGTCTCTTCAAACACGTATGGACTGGGTAACTCTGAAAAACACATATAGTATAATTGAATAAGCAGAACATCAAATTAAACAGACAAAAACTGAAAGCTCTATATAAATGCTCAGAGTTCTTTATGTATTTCTTATTGGCATTCAACATAAGGAAAATCAGAAAACAGGGAAATTTTCATTAAAAATATTGGTTTGAAATAAAATATTTGTGCTTTGATCTTATTTTTCTTCACTCACCCAGCAATATAAACTATTCTTCAGAAAACTCTAATCTATATATAACATTTTTAGAGCAGTATTAATATAAATTATTATTATTTTTTGTTTGGTTTTGAGATGGAATCTCGCCCCGTATGTAGCCCAGGCTGGATGGAGTGGCCTGATCTCGGCTCACTGCAACCTCCGCCTCCCAGGTTCAAGCGATTCTCCTGCCCCAGCCCCCCAAGTAGCTGGGATTACAGGCACGTGCCACCATGCCCAGCTAATTTTTTGTATCTTTAGTAGAGACGGGGTTTCACCACGCTGGCCACGCCAGTCTCGAACTCCTGACCTCGTGATCTGCCCGCCTCTGCCTCCCAAAGTGCTGGGATTACAGGTGTGAGCCACTGAGTCTGGCCTAATGTAAATTCTTAATAACAATACTAAAATACACCGTGTAATTCCCATGCTATGAAAGATAATCAACTTTAAACTACCTCAAAAACAAGATTTTAAATAATTTGGGGGCGAGGGGGAAAGAATAACATTACAGATATACAAGAGATGGAGGGTTTGGATTTCGAGATTAAGAATGGGTAAATATACTCTTCAGGGTGGAGTTACTCAATTTTGGCTCCCTCAACATTTCGGTCATTCTTTGCGGTCATTCATTTTGCGGTCATTCATTTTGGTCATTCTTTGTGGCAGAAGCTGCCCTGTACATCTTTTAGTAGCACCCTGGTCTCTACACACTAGATGGCAGTAACACCTGCATCCCCTCCCCCCACAGGTTTTTGTTTTTTATTTTGTTAAGAGACAGAGTCTTGCTCTGTTGCCCAGGCTGCAGTGCAGCAGTGTGATCATAGCTTACTGCAGTCACAAACTCCTAGGCTCAAGCAATCCTCCTGCTTCAGGCTTCCAAGTAGCTGGGACTACAAGTGCAAACCACTGTGCTCAGCTAAGTTTTTGTGGAGACAGGGTCTCACTTTGTTGCCCAGGCTGATATTGAACTCCTGACTTCGAGTAATCCTCCAAGCCTTAGCCTCCTAAAGTATTAGGATTACAGGCGTGAGCCACTGAACCTATCCTCCCCTCTACCTCTCCTCTACAGTTTAGACAATCAATTTCTCCACATATTGACAAATGTCACTGAGGGGAGTGGTGGAAGGTAGGGCAAAATCTCAGCAGGTTGCAAACAACAGCTTTACAGGAAAGTTAGTCAACTTCTAAAATGACATATCTGGAAACCTAGAACAAAACTGCTACTTTTTTGAGCAAAAAACGAGGGAAGATCATGGTATGAGTAGAGGGATGATGATAGTATGATTTTAATAATAAAGGTTAACTACCAGTAGTGCTACAAGCAGTAGTGCCCAGGGTTGCAGAACTTTGACTTGGAAATCCAGTTCCATTTACAGTCTTGGGCAAGTCACCACCTCTTTGAGCCTGCTTCCTCACCTATAAAGGGTAGGGGTGACAACACTGTCAGGTTGCTATGAAGAATAAATGATAAAAATATATATGCAATGCTTTGTAAACCATAAACATTTACAAAGAAAAATAAAAGATCATGAAGTTCTTGAAGATAAAAGAAAATACTATAATAATCACACAAAAATTAAAATATTCTAAAGTTTCAATTGTTTATAAGCAAAATAAACTTTTCTACAATGTAACAAAAAATTATATCATGGCACTTATAAGAACATATGTAAAAGTAAAAAATGTTTATTGACATTGAAAAAACCCAACATCTTGAAATTAATCATTAAAATCATAAGGTAAATACTAAGGTTAGAATAAAAAACAGATTTATCTATGATCTGAATAGTGGAGCTTAAAGTAGCTAAGTTAATCTTTTTATAAAAAGAAATGACAAAACCAAAATTTTAAAATACTGGAAATGATTCTTGAAATCCCTGCAATTAATTTACTGAGGTTTATGTTTATATTTTCCATCTTACAGCTGTTAGCCATTTTTGGTTTTAAGTTTGCAAAAAACAAATCGCTAATAAAAATCATAAACAACCAAAACTGCATTAACATTTACTGCCACAAACATATTTTATGGTGAATACAAAATATTAGCCACTGGAAAAATCCATTAAAGACTGAAAACAAGTGACTTACTATTTACTGGGCTTATGACGGACTAAATTACTGAAGTGATTTTCTTTATCATGAGGTATTTAGAAGTCACTAAAACAAAAACTTTTTTTTTTTTTTCCCTGAGATGAGGTCTCTCCACAAATTGTCCAGGCTGGTCTCAAACTCTTAGGCTTAAGCGATCTTCCTGCCTCAGACTCCAGAGTGGATGGGATTATAGGCATGAGCCACCACACCCAGCATTCCAAAACCTTTTTTTTTAAAAATTTCAATTTTGTTCTCCCTTAAGCTCCCATACTATTTCTCTTTCATTCACAATTCCATTACTTTTTGAAAGAATTGCCTTACCTCAGTATTACCTTTCTACTCACATGAACCTTAATCTGTTGCAGCTGACCTAACAATTCTCCTGAATCTATTTTACCAAAATTATCTTATACAAATAACATTAAACAATAATAGCTGATTTTATTAGTCCATTCTCGAACTGCTATAAAGAAATACCCGACACTGGGTAATTTATAAAGAAACAATGTTTAACTAGCTCATGGTTCTGCAGGCTGTATAGGAAGCATGGCGGAGTCTGCTTCCGGGAGGCCTCAGGAAGCTTCCAATGATGGTGGAAGGAGAAGGCGGAGCAGCATTTTACATGGCTGGAGAAAGGGGAGGTGCCACACACTTTTAAAGAACCAGATTTCATGAGAACTCACTATCACCAGAACTGCTCCAAGGGGAAAATCCACCCCAATGATCCAATCACCTCCCACCAGGCCCCACCTCCAACACTGGAGATTAAAATTTGACATGAGATTTGGGTGGGGACAGATCCAAAACATATCACTGATGTTTAAGTAACATTTTCAGACATTCTTATAAATGCCTTACTTTTAATCCTTACAACAACCCTATGAGGTACTTTTACTTATATCTGTTTTTTTAGGTGTAGGAGCTTAGGAAATTAAATCACTTGTGGCAGATCTGGGATTTGAATACAGCAGTCTAGTTCCATGCTTTTAACTATGATGACACAATATTTTTCTTGAAAATCTCTGTTCACTTTGGAATCACCTTTGCAAATATATCAATGAGAAAATTATGACAGTAAAAAAGATCTGAGCTAACCCAGCCTCCATCTTCCCTTTCCTTAAATTATTACTGTGCTATTGGGCTGAGCTAACTTTGGAAGACATTTAGGCTATAGTTTAAATGATAACAGACCTTGCCCAAAACTCATCTTCTTTTGTAAAGCTAATGAAAGGTCATGAACTTGGGGAAGAGAGGAGACTGATCCTGCTGAGGTGTAGACATAGATTGCCAGCCGTGCCTGCAAATAATATAACTATTGTGGACTGGCTTTTTGAGATACCTTTCCAGGTGTTTTTGCATAGCTGACAACTATGGCTTCACCTGAACCTTCCAATCCAGATGACATCATAGGATTTCATCTCTGCCCCAACCAACCTGCAGCAAGCCTTGCCTCCCTGACCACTTCCCCAAAACTGCCTTTGAAAATCCCCTAACCCTCAGGAGTTCGAAACCAGCCTGGCCAAAATGGTGAAACCTCGTCTCTACCAAAAATACAAAAACTTAGCTGGGTATGGTGGTGGGCACCTGTAATGCCAGCTACTTGGGAGGCTGAGGCAGGAGAATCGCTTGAACCTGGGAGGCGGAGGCTGCAATGAGCAGAGATTGTGCCACTACACACCAGCCTCCTGGGTGACAGACCAAGACTTTGTCTCAAAAAAAAAAAAAAAAAAAAAGAAAAACCCCTAACCCACAAGATGATTTGCATACTAACTCCATCTCCCACGCGGTGTGGCCAGCCTTGTATCTATTAAACTCTTTCTTTACTACAATGCTGTGGTCTTCATTTGTGTAGCTGGCTGGAAGAAACCCTTGGGCGATTACAACTTTGCTAACACACATTATGCTTTATCGTTTGTCCTTTAGTGGCTAGTGTTCCCCAATATCCTTCACTTGGTATCTTCTCTCTATTCCCTAACAATTTCATCCATTGTAATCATTACCTTTAGGGTGAGTCCTTCAAAATCCACATCGCAAACACTTACCTCATTCACAAGTAGCAAATTTTCAGAAGCAAACTTAAACATCTGGTGGCATAAAACTCAATAAAAATGAACATCATAAACAATTTCCTTCAAACTCATAAGGTCCCTATTAACTCTGTTTTTCCTCCTAGCTGTGCAGGTTCTAAACTTCTAGGAGTTGCTCAGCTGATTTCTAATCTTCCTGCATCTCTATGGACAATCAGGTGCCAGGTCCTGCCCTAACTTCTCATGCTTCTTGCATCCATTCTTTCCTTTTTATCCTCAGTCACTGTATCACAATCACATTCTTATTGGAATATGTGAAAGGAAAATAAAATCTCCAGACCCCAAATTCACTATGCCTGGGGTCTACAACCCTAGGGTCATGGACCATAACTGGTACGAACTGGAATACACAGCAGGAGGTGAGCAGTGGGAAAGTGAGTGAAGCTTCATCTGTATCTACAGCCACTTCCCATTGCTTGTGTTACTGCCTGAGCTCCACCTACTGTCAAATCAGCAGTGGCATTAGATTCTCATAGAAGCGCAAACCCTATTATGAACTGCACACGTGAGGGATCTAGGTTGCACGCTCCTTATGAGAATCTACTGTCCGATGACCTGTCACTGTCTCCCATCACCCCCAGGTGGGACCATCTAGTTGCAGGAAAACAAGCTTAGGGTTCCTATTGATTCTGCACTATGGTGATCCGTATAATTATTTCATTATATATTACAATGTAATAATAATAGAAACAAAGTACACAATAAATGTAATGCAACTGAATCACCCTGAAACCATTCCCTCCTCCCTCATGCCCATCTGTGGAAAAATTGTATTCCACAAAACT